TCGCAAGGGAAACATCGATGTGATTGTGCTAGAACTAGGGATTGTTTCTGAAGAGGGGAGTGGGAAGTTTTGAATGTCCTTTCTTCATTGTTCTGACTCAGAAGTTTGACTTCTCTGCCTCATCTGACCCGTCACCTCATGGGGAACTGCCGTTCCATGAGGACCCAACATTTCATTTCCTTCCCTTACTTTATCGTTCCCCTGCTGCTCATCAGCTTCTTCTTCCAAAGCTGGGGGTTCAGTTCTCCATCAGGTGCATAGGGAGAGGGTAAATGGTTTAAAGGGACACCATTTTCCCTTTTTCTCTCTCTTCCCTACTTTCCTTTACATTTTTAACTCAGACAGGTACCCATTCCAACAGGAGGCATTGTCACTTTCTTCTTGGTCAAAAGGTCTCTTAGCATTCACATACAGATTTAAGTCTGACAAATCCAATCCTCTGATGATCCATATTTCAGCCAATATAAAGGATTGAACCATTCAAGTCCCCTCAAACATACAATACTGTATCATTTTCCTTTTGTCTTTCCCCTGGCTACAAGGTATTCCCTCTTGTCCCCAATCTCTGAGCATCACCCCCAAAGGACTGGCGGGAAGTATGCTCCTAGTGCAGTCTTTAGACTCCTCTCCCCTCTTCTAATTTTTTTTACTAGGACTATTTCCCATCTCTTAAATTCCTGCAGGATTCCTTTCTCCTGGAACCGTCTCACTTTGTCCCACCACTGGCCATTTTCCTTGTGGAGAAACAGAACCTCTGTTAAAAGGACCCCACACTCATTCACAGGCAGTTCTGTGTCTCAGACACGCACAGTCAGTCCTGCTGTAGCAGTGCTCAAGGGTCAGTGTTCTTTCCTGGGCCCTGTGCACAGATATTATCGGCTGCTGTGCACAGACCTGTCAGAGACCGTATTCGTATCTCACCAGGTTGTTTGACTGATGAGTCAAAAAACCCCTGTTGTCTGTTTGAGTGTTGGGGGAAGGGATGGGTCAGACCTCGCGGAGGTCGGGTGGTGTCGTATCCCTCACGGCAGGTCCCTGGAGCCCACACGGGGAAACCTCAGAGTAGCTGTCAGCCACAAACAGCCTGGAAAAACTGTAACACTCAACACCTCCTGGAGCCCAGAACCCAGCCTCAGGTTGGCATGGACAGTGAGAATGCTGCCCCTCATCCTGGTCTGGAACCCCCAGAGTGGCTGCTGGGTCAGAGACCCCGCCTGGAGGGGGTGGCCAAAGGGACCAGCGCTGATAAAACCATCATCATGTGTTTGCCTCGTGTCATGCCCTGCCATTGGCCTTGTGAGAGCCGGTCATTTACAAGGCTGAGACGGTAGCTGTCTCTGCCCCTTTCTTCTCTCTTCTTGCTCCCTCTGCTTTTCTTTCTTTGCTCCTTTCTTGAGGCTTAGGGTAGTTTGGAGCTGGAGGGACGGGATCTTGATTTAAGTGTGGTGGAATTGGTTCAATTTTGCCTTAAGCATTGTGGATTTGTTGGAAGTGTTGTGGGTTTATTGAATCTTGCCTTAAATATTGTTGATTTACTAGATCTTGATTTAAGTGTTGTGGATTGACTGGATTTTGACTTAAGGGTTGTGGATCAGTACTATATGCTGGGTCAGTAGTGTGCTGAAACATTTTGTCTACCTTGTGTGGTGTCCTTTTGATCTTTGGCCAAGTTGCTTTATTTGCTCCCCTAAATGAATAAAGAAATTTCTTGGGAACAAGCCCCTGGCTGTGGGAACAAGCTGAGCCAGATGCACTTGCATTCAGTTAATTAGAATCCAAAAGGAGTATTTTGGCTTTAACCATGTTTTGATAGAGAGAGTGCTGTGTTCCCAAAGTGGAAAATCGCTCAACAGTCTGCATGAGAGCGTGCATCGTTTATACCGTGACTCAAAACAGTCACAGAACGGCAGTGTGTGCGGGGGAAATCAAGACATCAGGTCACCAAAGTTTTGTGAATTCTAGTTAACTGAATGGCAACACCAGGTGCTGTTTACCCAAAGAGGATAATAAAAGGAGAATGCAGAGAGAGCTCTGCGGAGAATCCCAAAAAACGAATTATGGTGTGTGCAGCCTCCTTTCTTCATCTCCCATACGTGACTTGTTCTCTAGATGCTATCTCCACGTATTAAAGAACCCTAGCCAAACCAGTGAGCTGGCAGCTCCTGGGGCTTGGAGTCTTACAATACCCTAGTCTTTTCTCCTTTCTCCTGCTTTTCCTTCCCCTTTTGCTTTGAGAGTCCTCTGTCCGGGTCTCACCTGCAGTCCCCACGGGGCATGACAACAAGCCGAGGGCTGCTGAAATCAGCAGGGCACACCTTCCCGTGCTCCTTTAGTTCTGCTCCACAGGGTCAGAGCTCAAGCATTCAGGATGAGCCCCAGATTGTGAGAAATACTCACTTATTGATGAAATTGAGAGGTGACAAAGTCACTGAAGGAAAACTATTTATTGATAAGGATGAGTCAGCTGAGTCAGGTGCATCTCTCTGGGGAGGCACACCTCTCCTCAGAATGGACTACCCTCTATACCCTTCCCTTCCTTGTGTGATCCCTGTCCCTCTTCCCATTGCCTAGGTACTCAGGAAATTACATCCTTTCCTGGCTTCCTACCTTACTTGAACCACCCCTTCACCTCCCCCCTTTTGTCTTTTCTTCCTTTTTTGGCCAGGTTTTCAGTATCACCTTTCCTATTGGCCCTTGCAAGTCTTTGCATTCAAGCAATGAACGTGGGGTAACTTCCCTCCCCTTCTCCCTCATGTCCATGAGGTCTTATGGCTGCAGCAAAACCTTATTTCATTTCTCACAGAACCTTCCACTAGAGATTATTTCTCTTCAAGTAACTTAACTACAGAGGGGGTCTCTGAGTCCTGAAGAAACACTGGATAGTGCAAATATTGCAAGGTTAGCAGTAACTGAGGAACTCCAGAAAGTAAAAGCACAGTTTCCACAATCCCTTTATGGACCTGTTTTTCAGGGATACAAGGCTACACAAAAGGAGGAAAAAACTTTTACAAGGACACAGGAGAACTTTTTTTCCCCCCACAGTCATTAAGGTCTATCAAAAGCCAGAACAGTCAGCCAGCAAGTACCTACTGAGAACTGTGGCTAACTTGAAAGTACAGGACAGAAAAAAAAAAAAAAAAAGTTTGACACTTTTTTCCAACCTATTTAGAATCAATTTAACACCCCTGTGCTGACGTATGCAAGTTTGACACCTCTTTCACTGAAGACTGGCCACATTTCAAACAACAGCAAATGCTGCCATCTAATGGTACCTGATCCCTGAACAAAAGCTGTCGGCTCATTCCAGCTCTCAAAGAACAAAAGAAATAGTTTCACCTCACAAGCATCACTCTGCGTGAAACAACCCAATCCAGATAGGAGCAGGTCTCAAGCAGAGCCACCAAATATCTCTGCATCCCTCTGCCCAGTGCTGCAGCTCCCGAGTGCAAATTCCTGAGTTATCCTAAGAGATCTGAAAACTTTCTTCGTCAACCATTTTTTTTTCTGAACTGCAGCTGATTCTGGAAGTAATCACAGAATCATTAAGGTTGGAAAAGATCTCCAAGATGATCAAGTCCAACCTTTAATCAAACACCACCATGCCCACTAAGCCACAGCACTAAGTGCCACATCCACTTGTTTTTGGAACATTTCCAGGGATGCTGATTCCACCAGTTCCCTGGGGAGTTGAAGATCAACCATGATAAAGACAGTTAAAACCATACTGTATCTGAACTTTTTAACTCTTAGCTTTCCTGTGTCTTTATTTGACCTGAAATTAACTGAAATTTGACTGTCATGTTTAATAGTATTTAACATGGGAAATGACAGTAGAACTCGAGTAATTAACTTATTATTCCTGGTATTTGTGGCCTGAAAATGCTAAATCTTTTCTGATTCCCTGTTCAAAGTGAAACATTTTCAGGTTTTCTTGTGTTAATAGGTAGCTACTTTTGGAAATTATATTACTGTGATTCTACCCCTCTAAGAACATATTACATCTTGTAATAAATGAAACTGAAAATACTCCTTACAAAACAGACAAAAATATGTTAAGCATCTGAACTCTTTATTGAAGAATCTAAACCAGTCGTATTTTATTAGTGATTCTGAATCCACCCTGACACTTCATCTGAACAAGCTAAACTGCAAAAGAATCAGTAAAATATTATTACATACTGTTCATGCATTTTTTGTCAGAATCAATCAAATAAATACTTCCTCTAACCTTTTTTAAATGTTGTCTCATACAACATACCATGAACTCCTTTTCAGATGACTAAGTAATGCTTCCTATGACATTTCAATGAAGTATAATGATGAAATATATGTACAATGATTCTCAAGATTTTCTGGAAACAATATCTCTTGTAAACCATTCTTTGATTTTGGTAACTATGATTATGACAATTTTCAGACACTGCATGATACAAAGAACAAATCATATACAACTTCTGTGCACAGGCAACGGAGGATGATCTGTTAAGTCCATTTAGGTCCACATACAAAGACACCTCAAAAATTCTTAAGCATAAGAAAATCCACTCAAAGATGCTAGGAGAAGGATAGTGCCCAAAATATCAAAATTAGAGGCTGATTATATTCAAGTGTCCTGAATGAGCTCTTTTACAGAAGTGCAGTAATTATTTAATTTTGCTACAATAAAGCCTGGTTGGAAATATTGTTTATCTCTAGAGACATACATTATTCTAGAGCCTTGTGTGTTTATAAATCTGTGCTTTCAATTGACCTTTTACAGATTTCTTCCATAAACACATGAACTAGGATAAAACTGGTAGGTGAAAAAATGAACCCACCTACTCCAGTAGCTGAGTGGAAAATTCTATGGTTTGATTTTCCTCCAACATTTATGACATAGTTGTTCAGATCTTAATCGTTTTAAGGAGAATTTGCAAATTCGATCAATCAGAATATTTGAAGGCTGCCACCATTATTCTAAATTTAGAGTATTATGCCCTGGGATTCACATATGGCTTCCATCTGAAATAAGTGACTTTGGTTTACATGTCAAAAATGCTGCAGCCTGGGGTAACCTTATGTGTCCAGCTTATTTCTGTCTGTTTCAGCAATAGCATCATAAAGTCAAGGGAGGGATGTGGAAGAAACAGGTCGTGGTTTATGTATCTTCCTGCCACTACTTTCATTAAGCATTGATACAATAAGCCTTTGCTTCTTCCGTGTTTCTTCTCCAAAGACAGCACTGTAACGTCTGTGACGGCAAAAGAAAGATGCATTTTTGAAAGAACGCTGTATCAAATACCTCCTGAAGGCCCTTTGGATAATAACTGCTGATACCTCCTCTTGTTTTCGTTTAAGAGTGGAAGAAATTGGATTTCCAATGACAGTTTTTTCTTTCATGAATAATTCAAGACTGTCTAAATGTCCAAAATCTCCTAGGACCCTTTTAGTGAAAGCAAGCAAGATATCCAAGTGGTGGATCTTATCTCCACTAAATATAGGGAGGTCCATGGATATGAGCTGGATGTTATTAGGCTTTGGAATGCGCAAAGGTTCTGCCAGAGCATCTGCAAAGTCTGAAAGGGCAGAATAGTCAATAAATTCTGTTGCCAGAGGATCAAATTTTCCCCATGTCTCATAAAACATATCAAAGTCATAGTCAGAAAGAAGATATGTGCTTTCTTCAGCGGCAACATTGAAGTTCTCTGAAATGACATATGTGTACATATTTGCAACAATAAGAAATGAGATAGTGACATAGCTTCCAAAATAGAAAATACCAAACATTCTATTTGAGCAATTAGTTTTATCTTCCTTCTTTTTATCTAAGTTGGGAGCACATGCACCAGATTCACTTAACAAAGGGACCAGAAGACTATCCCACCCAGCTGATGCTGTAATTTGAAAGAGACAGAGAATGCTACCAGAAAAGGTTTGGAAGTTGAAAATGTCATCAATCCCACCTTCCCAGGGAAGACAGGCAAAGTTTGCCATGCCCACAATGGCATAAATAAACATAATCAGGAAAAGCAAAAGGCCAGCATTGATCAGTGCAGGAAGAGACATCACTAATGCAAACAGAAGGGTTCGAATTCCTCTCGCTTTTCGAACCAATCTCAGGATTCGGCCAATTCGCACCAAGCGAATGGTTCTCAAAAGTGTAGGAGAGAAGAATCTTTGGAAGGCTTCAGAAACTCCAATACCTTTGAAGAGAGAAAGAAAACTAAGTGTTGTCAAACCATACTAGTCAAATTTATGTCTGCTTTGTTATATTCTGTGCTTTAGGTGTCAGAAGTAACAGTGACCATATTACACCGCTTTCCACAAAACATCATCAATACTGCACCTGCTTACAAAAGAGTTTAGGAAAAGAAAGACTAATCATAATACCTTTCAGTATTAAAGAGGTTTCAAGAGTATGCATCGTTTGGAAACTGCATCCTCCCAGATTCTTCTAATTTAGGGGTGGTGAAGTTACACATTCATTGCTCAATTACTTAAAAATCCTTTTAGCTCCATTCAGCTCCCATGATGGAAGCTATGGGGATTGCCTTCTAGCTGCTGTCTGCTGCTAAATGTGAGGTTTTGATTAATGCTTGGTACTTGAAAGAGATCAGAGAAGACCAAGAGGAATGTAAAGTATTTATCCCCCATTACACCCCGTTCTTTGACCCTACTAACAGAGCAATGGTACAGAGCAATGCAAATGATTACAAACAGAGGAGTTAAGGAGTCATCATTTTCCTGGGTTGTACAGGACAGCAAAGGGTTACTGTGCTTAGTCAGGAAACAGAGAACTCAGAGTAGTTTGTCTTTCCTGTCCTTTATTCTGTGCTATAACCTGAGCCTGAGTGGGAAGCACAGACCAAATAAACTGTACAAGAAACTAGAGCTATACACAGCCCTTTGTAGAGGAAATGATCCATATCTGGTCTTATTTGCAAAGCCAGAAAACCCCAAGCCAGTTTAAATGAGACTTTTCACAGTCACAGACAGATTGTGTCCCAGATTGAGAATGGTGCTGAACAACTATATTTTCCTGAGCTTTCTAAATCAGCAATCGGGATCTGCCTTATTTGAAGGAAGTCCTGGTGAAATAAAAAAAAATCTTTCCCATTTTTCATGCAAATGTATTTTGACATGAATCTACTTTTGTCATGGTTTTGCTTGTTCTGGGAAACTAAGCAGGACTTTTTCTTTCCCTCTGAACACTGTGAAAGAGGGATGTTGAATGGGTAGGTTGGTTCTGCCTTGGTGATTGATCAACACAAAAGAATTGACCGGTAGGTCCACATTCCAGATTGATGGCCCTTAGGAGTCTGTGAGGAGGGGTGAGGAGGTTTAGTGGTTTTTTGTTTGTTTGTTTGGGGTTTTGTTTGTTTTGGTTTGGTTTTTTCCTTGTTTTTGTGGGTTTTTTGTGGTTTTGTTTGGGTTGTTTTTTTTTTTTTTTACTTTTTTTTCTTCTCTCCTGGGAAATGGCAGGGAATTTCATTGTTGCCCGAGCTGGGATAAGGTCTGGGTGGCAGGAGCTCTGAGGTGGTTTTATTCTCAGCCTGGCTACCCGGCTGGCTCAGTTCCACCCAGCTCAAAACCTGCTTGGATTTTCATCAGAGAGGAACTATTTGGGAAGGAGGTCACCTTCTTCCCCTCCTGTGTTCCCGTGTTTTTTTGGCACCGGTTCTCGTGCACATCAAAGGAGAGGGGAAGCCACACAGTCCAGTTGGAGACAGAGTGAGTCCCCATTAGGGACTTTTTTTTCTTTCCCTCCTTTTTTTTTTTTTTTTTCCCCTCCTTTCCCCCCTATCCCGGTGAGAGGGAGGGAAAACCTCCATTTTCAGCTTCTCAAGCACACCCAACATGGCGACCACCAGTGATCCAACCGCGCCCCCTGCTGACTGCGGTTGGAATTGCACAAAAGGGCCCAAACGGAACTGTTTCCTTTTTCTTGTTGGTTTTTTGTTTTGTTTTGTTTTGTTTTTAAGGGGATTTTTTTGGGTAAAGGATTATTGTGTGGCTGTTTTATTTGCGTCCTTTCGTTGTTCTTCCAATACACATATATCTTTTAATAAAGGGCTGTTATTTTTCCTTTCTCCACACTTTCTCAATTGGAGCCTCTTAATTTTGGATTTGCAATTGCTTAGCGGGAGGAGTTTGGGTCTTCTTCATAACTCATCCTCAGCAAAACACTTGTTCTCATTAAACTGAGACAACTTTGTGCAAGTAACTTACTGCGATATCATGGAAATGGAAAGCATAAAACCAGCCTTACAACAATTTATGTACAATAACATTGAGAAGATGTTAATTAATTAAATTCCTATGCTGTCAATTACTCAGTAAAACACATACTTAAAAAAATAAAAATTAGGGAAAGAAGGGAAAACAAGGAAGGAATTTAGAAGAAATGACTTAGCATATAGTTTGAAAAAGTACAGTGGATTTGGAATTTATAAAATTCATGTAAATGGTTAGTTCACACTGAAATTCGGCTCAATATTGGTAAGACACATTACCTGATTTAGTGATTGGTACTTACTGACTATTGAAAGGACCACAACACTAAAATCAAATAAGTTCCAGATGCTTTTGAAGTAGTGCTGTCTTAAGGCCAGTATTTTTATGACACATTCTGCCGTAAATACAGCCACAAAAAAATAGTTGATTTTATTAAGAACTTCCTTGGTGCCTTCCTGGTTATTTTCTGCCATCATAACAACCGTATTTAGGAAGATGAAAATCACAATGGTATTGTCAAATGTTTTGTGCTTTACAATATCAAACAGCAATCCCAGGAACGCATTCTGTGGAGAGAACAAGAACTGCATTCAGTTACTAATCAGTAATTTGTGCTTAGAAAAAGAACTTAAGATAATATAAATTTAACAATAAGCTACTAGAAGAATTTTTAGGTGATTTCTTTTATTCAGTCTCATCTGCAATAATCCAATCTAGTTGCAGGAGCAGCATCATGCAACTTAAGTAACCAAGGTCATGGTAAGAATATCAAACACTCAATATGAACCTTTATAAAAAGGTTGCACATTTGAAAAGGTGGCAAATAGGCTATAAATTTCCCTAATTAATAGCCACAAAGTTGTGTTAGATGGAATTAAAGAAGAGAGATAAAAGTGTAAATACTACATGGAATGAGGAAGATGATGGGCTCTAATGCAAAGTTTATTTCCCTGTGCCTGGGCTACTGAGTTCAAATATGGTCACCATCGTTGTATCTTCTATCATGTTCTACTTAAGATGATCTCACCGATGGTCTTGGGATGGGTTTTTGAGGTTTCTTGGATCCAAGCTTTTTTAAGGCATTATAGTACCTTTTCTGTTCCTTAGATGAAAATAGATCTTTTCCACCTAAGTAAAGGGAAAGAATATAGTTGTTCAGCTGAAGTTTAAGCAGTTCCCTAAATAAATACCAGTAAATTTCTGTAAAAAAAGAGTAAGTTATAGCTGTTCTGAGTGGGACCTAAGAGAGCACAGAGACAAACTGTGTCTTCACCATTTCTCCTTTTCACCTTGATCTTTGAAACAACGTACTGGAAAGAGCTGATCCGGGTTTGATCATGAAAGTCTAGTCTAGGCAGTGTTCCCAAGTCAGTTCCCTCAAGTGTGAGAGCCTTTCTGAAGTTTTACAAATCTATTTCATATTTTAAAAATTACATAAGATGCATCAAGGAGTGAAATACTCTCTATTTTTGGGGAAGGTAGAAAGAAAAGTGTATTGCTGGACTAGCAGGTAAATGGAGGATGATGGGACCCAGTTCTGCAGGGGGTTCCTGACAACGAATTCCTTATTCTCATCTACACCCCCTGTATCACTTGTCCCCATCTACACCCCCTGTAGTATTTAGCAATCCCTTTGAACCCAGGATTCAGAAGCCACTCATCAGTCATAAAAGCACTGAGTGATCAGTATTTTGTATAACAAACACATAACAGTGTTCACTAGGGCATCTGCAATTTCAGTCACTCTGGCAAGACCTCTGAAAATTCCATTTGACTTCACTATACGGAATCACAAGGGAAATTCCTGAGAAGCAGCAAAGGAATGAAAGAGGAAAAGTGAAAAAAAAAAATGTCATTCACAGAATATACTAAGAAAAAAAGTGTTACATCCACATAAACTTCCAGTAAATGTTCAGGCTCATAAACTGCTTAATGACTGTTGTTTCTATCTATTTGGATTATTGTAACTGGGACTTTGTTAGAAAAGAAAATTCTTAGAGTGAAGTTTATACTTGGTGTATGAATCAGGCTACAGAAATAAAAAAGGGTTCCTGTAGAGATTCTGTCTTCCAAATGTAAACCTTGAAATTGTAAACCTCTTGTTGAGGTCTGCTTTTTTTGAATGAGAAAGATGTTAATTTTTTTTAAGTCTTCCAAGTGGAATAATTTACTCAGTTTTTCTTTATATTCTGGGTACTTTAGGCATCTAAATGAACCAAGACAGAACTCAACTTGTTTCTGGCTTCTCATTTCCAAAGCTACTCACTCCTTCCTCCTCCTCCTCTACTTCGAACAAATTAAGGACTTGGTAGGAAAATAGAATTTACAGGTAAATTGCTAAAAGCCTTGAGGAAAAGGGGGCTCCTGTTTCCAAAACTTGGTTGAAAATATTATTACTTTAAATTTATCCAGTTAAACATTTTTTTTCAAAATGTTAGACATCTACATGTCAAACCAGTGTTCACTTAATCAAATTGGGATTACAGGAGACTCTGAGTTAGCTCCAGTAGTACTTATCTTTTTCCTTTGTTGGTTAAAATTGTTGATAACCACTCCAACAAAAAGGTTCAGCATGAAGAAAGATCCAAAAATAATGAAAACCACAAAGTATATGTACATGTGTAAGCTTGCTTCAAACTTTGGTTGTTCATCGATCTGTTAAAAAAAAATCAAACCAGAAAATAATATTGGTAAAAATGAGATAGTCACAGCTTTACCATTTCCAATTTATAATAACAGATCTTTTTATTGTCATGAAAGATAAATTATTTCCATGCATTTAAATCTTTACCTGGATGTACAAGCAGAACCACTGTCTTGGTCTATCTTGCTACTGATTGTAAAGATAATGACAAACAGAGCTATAGAGACAAATCCAGCTTTAGCAAATTTTTAAGTAATAAATAACCAGTTCCAATCAGAAGGGATCAGCTCAAGCTCAACATAATGTTGAACTGCCATCCTCTTGAATGCTATCCCAGACAAGGGGCAATTCTAAAGCCCCAGCTCACTCAGATCAGTCCTACAAGGAACAATCCTGTTAATCAGCAGCTATTTCACTACAGTCAAGAGCACAGAGACTGAATGAGTGAGAAAAATGTAAATCAGGTAAACACAGAGAAGTTAAAACACACTGTTCTGGGAAGAGAGTGAGGAACAGCACAGGCAGATAGGGAAGAAATAGTGAGGATGTCAAGCAGAGGGAAGAGAAACTCCTGAAATAACTGCTCTAGCTGCATGCTGCTTCAATTCTCCTGTTCATGTTTGAAAAGGGAGAAAATTTGCACAGTCCCTTCAAGACCTTCAGTATTGTGTTTCCAAAAGAGACTTGCACAAAACTTGCAACACCTTCCCCTCTGCATTCCTGACACAGCAGGCTTTTGTGTGGTGTCACTCAACTTTGACTTGTTTCTCCTGTCTAATTTCCAGATTTTTGGTTCTCCAAGGGTTATTGTTTCACTGTGCAGTTTGATGCATTCAACCACTTGTATTTTTGCTTTGATATTGCAAATAAAGATGAAAAGGTAATTGCATGGATGGGAAAGGGAAGAAGAAAAGGGAAAACAACTTAAACCTTATTGTAGTGACATACCCCACGTGAATCCACTGCTGCATACATAATCTCCATCCAACCTTTAAAAGTTGCCTGAAAAAAATGCATTATTAAGTTTGTTATCACTGAGAAAAAAATCAGGTACAGCTAAGATAAATGTGTTGATAATTGTGGGAAAATTTTCATCTTAAGTTGCAAATTTATTGTAAAAGGATAAAAACAATTGCTAAGAAAACAGTAGACAATTCCATCCTGCAATTTTTAGCAACTCTGAAGAATCATAGAATACTTTGGAGGATCCAGGACATAGAACTTCATCAAAAAAAGATATAGGGATAACAACCAATTTAAAAATTGCCTTTCTCTCCTTTGTTGTGGTGTTAGGGAGCTCGATAAATTAGTATCCCTATCCTTCATGACTTCTACAGGAAAAGAAAATATAAACAAACTGTGCCCTGATTTTCTTTCTCATCCATTCTGAACTAGACAAAATGAGAATAACTTTAAATTCAGTAACCTGCAGATTATTTCAGGCTTAGAGTGTTAATCAAAATGAAAACAAAACTGAAAAACCATGAAAGAGAGTTCTTGATTTTAACACAAGGTTGCACATGCTCAGGTGTTCTTTAGGAGGAACTGAGCAGGTCACTGATAAGGAAAACACATATAGAAGTTAAAAAAAATCCCCAATTTCAGTGGGATAAACAGAAGCATAGTGGTGTCCCATGGTTGGGCTGCTCAACCCATTTCCTTGAAGAAATCAAAACTAAGAATGTTTTTATGGAACTTACCACTTGGAGCAGAGCCAAGTATCCCATCCAAACATTATCAAAGTTTACAGGATAATTTGTCCAATTTCCACCATAGGCATAACAATCATTTTTGTTATTAATGAGACTGATATCTCCTTCCTGGAGAATGCATTTTGAAAATCTTTTCCCAAACCATTTTACTCCTAGAATGTTAAATAGGAGCCAAAAGACAACGCAGACGAGCAAAATATTGAAGATTGAGGGGATAACTCCGAGGAGTGCATTGAAAAAAACCTGAACAAAATGAAGGAAAATAGTAATGCATTTTATGTTGTCATTTTCTTAAAAATCTTCAAATGCAGCCATTACAAAATATTCACACCGACCCCCAATACCTTTACCTTTACTGCTTCAAATCTTGACAAAGCTCGTAGAGACCTCAATGCTCTAAGAGTCCTGAGAGATTTCAGGCCACTCTTAGAGGAACAGGAATCTTTGGAATCAGGATTCAGTCCCCAGGAAACAAATGACAGCTGTGTTCATAGAATGGGAACTGGGATTATTAAATGGTAAACAAAATTTCTCTTGTTTGTGTTAGCAAACAATTATTACCTGAATGGTACAATATCTTTGACCAGTAAGTGAAATTAAAAACATGCACATTCAAAGTTATTGTAATATAATTTTGCTTCATTTATTTCTAATATATGAAAACTAATTGGGTTTCCTTCATTCTAATTTAAAATGGTTTTCCTGTTTGTTTCTTTTTTTGTTCAAAACCAGTTCATATAATTTTCTGGACTGCTAATATAATAACCAAGTTGCTAATTATGGTACTGTCATACACTGCCAGACCAGAAAGGATTTTTCAAAGAAATTATCCTCATTTTCTCCATCATTATTCTCAGAAGGGTATACAATAATTCCTTATCATCACTTGAGATGGTGATGTGGAAACAAAAATTATTTTTAAAAATTTATCCACTATTTTAAATTTTTCTAAGAGAGAAAATGAAATGAAAATAGAAAAATAATTCAATAATTAGGGATTTTTTTGACTGTTCATGATTTGTCTCTTCTTTCCTAGTTGAAATTCTGGTGTCGTTGTCCAATCATTGGATCTTTTTATGCCTTTCCTCTGATTTGGACAGCACTGCTATTAAGATTAGAAAACCACAACTGCTAAAGCTATACTACATGTTCTTTATAAATAGCTATAAGAAGTGATATCTAATGAAAGTTTCTTCAGTAACTTCTGATTACTACCAAAAATTTCTATTTAAATTTATCTTAAGGTCTCTTTGGATTGCAGGTTTTTCAGCTTTTGGGAACTGTCTTTCCTATCTGTAGTTATTCATAATAAGAATTTGCATGTAGTTACGCAGATAGTAATTGTCAAAAATCAAAATGTATGACAAGCTGAATATAATACTTACACATACAATGACGAAGTCAAACAAACACCAGGAATTTGTGAAGTAACTGTGCAATCCATAAGCTACCCATTTCAGAAGTATCTCCATCAAAAAGATGTAGGTAAATATTTTGTCAGCATAATCGAGGACAATTTTCAGTGTTTTTCTCTTGTGCAGGTGAATATCTTCAAATGCCTGGAATTTCAGAATTCAGTTTTAAAACAGGTCAGTAGTTGTATGGAAAATTATTTTTAAATTGCATAAGAATACACAGTTTGTCTCATTACAGTTTGTCTGATTACAACCATTTCATATTACATTGTGGGCTACCGCCACTTAGTTTTATACTTCAAAGTTAAAAATTAAATTGTAAAATGAGTCCAATTTCATTTTCAGATTGTTGAAAAATCACATACTTTCAGGTTTTTATGCTTGACATTACAAAACATGTCTGAGGACAGGCAATTGTGGCTACCACATTTGGGCTTCCGAAGGTAATTGATAATTTTGAAGGTGTTGGTCTAAATATTTCACAATAGAGACCAAATCAAACACATTAACCAATGTCTTTTTAGACCTTCCAAGTGAGTCATCTTTTGTCAGCCTGCAGAGTTGTAATACACACATGAAAAAATATGACAAATAACTCTTTATCTGGAACTGTTCATTCCTGGAGTTACAGGTTTTTTCACCTAAACCTTGACCTTGAGGTTTTAGGAAAATGTTGTATTGATTGCTGCTGTTAACATTAATATTTGCTCGTGTTTAATGCATTTGCTGCCTTGCTAATTAATTTTTAGTTTTTGATTTTGCCAGTCTATTTCCAATTCCTTTTAACGCCATTTATTATTTCCTCTCGAAGCCTCCACTTCTCCCCTGCCTTATAGCCCCATCTCCATTTCATTTAGGTATTACAGCAGACCTGATTTGCCTCCCTGCAGTTAAGACATGCCTAAAAATCCAGTCTAACTGGCCATGGAAAAGGTGGAGCAGGAGCATAGACCACTGAAAAAACATGGAGCAGAGATGCTCCAATGTGTAACCCAATAAAACTTATGCACTCCTGTTCTGCAGTGTTAGAAAACAGTGATACTTCTTCTGGAGCTTAGGGGTCTTCCAGCTGTGCCACAATTAGGGGAAATGCCTACAGAGCAGAGCTGTCCCTGTGTCCATGGGACTTTCATTTGAGTGTGGGTAAATGAGAATTTCTGGCATTCATGCACATAAACCGATTTACCATTTCTGACCTTTTTTTCCTGAGCAAGTTTGATAATGTGTCCTTTTATTCCCTGCTACACCTTGGCTGCCTTGATCTCCATCTGCCAGTCAAACCAACTGCTCATTAGCAGTGATGCTTTTTCATACTTCTGACTACTTTTTTTCCTAACTTTTTAAAGTTTCTAGCTACTCTTAATTGCTGCTACTTAAACAAGTCAGAAACTACTTGAGTTCCTAACTACTCTTCCCTTGCTCTGAGCACTGAGCACTCACCATGGACTTTTCTGTGCATTCTTTCTGTGATCACCATCTCCTTTAATTTGTTTTCAAGGCATGGACACCATGGTGTCCCTTTGTTCTAACTGGTGCAGAAAATTCCCTATCAGCATACAACTTTATAAAAAACAAACAAACAAACTTTTTGCAAGAGGACAACATATGTGAAAGTTCTCACTGCAAAACATCTTTGATGGTGCCGTTTTGTTATTTGCACCTGGGTACCAAATAGCTTTGTGTTCAGCTTACTCCTTAACGTGCTGCAGGATCTGACTAACTCACTTTCCTTCCTTACTTCAGTTTGGTTCCACGTGAATAGAGAGGAGCCCTCACAGGAATCCCAGGGATCTCCCTTGGACATTCTGCCATGGGAATTCTAAAGCAGAGAGTTCAAATCTATGGTTCAGTGAACAACCTGAACTTAGTGTACACAGAACAGATTTTATTTGGAAAATTCTGACATTTACCACATAGATACCTTTCAGACTAACTGCTTATGTTCCTTCTGCACTATAAAACATTTGATTTACATATTACATTCAGAAGACATTGAATATGCTTTCACAGCACAGAAGTTTCCTTATTCTTGAGTAGAAATGGATCTGATCAGGGTAGCAATGAAACATTACCTCACCTATCAGTTTACTTCACTTTTAGATTCTGATCATAACGTTTGGATGATTTTGAATCTACATTTTTACTAAGCAGTTAACTTGCTTTAAGCATTTAGAAGTGCTATTATTTTATTTAAAAGTGCTAAGTAATTTCAGAGTCTAGTTTAGACTTTAAACTAGCACAAAAATGTATGAAGAACCATATTCCTTGAAAAGCTACAATTCCATATATTTAAATCTATATAGTTAAACATCTTATCCAAGTGGGGGAAAGCCTTATCACTTTTAAGGGATGCATGTATTACACTCTTATCTCTCCCTGCTGGAAGGAATGTCAGAGTACAAGAAATCAATCAAATACTACTTTTTTTTTTTATTTACTGACAACAATAAATTCAAAATTAGAGAAATTAAATGCAATTTACCAGTGCTGCGCTGCTCAATACTGTCACAAAAATCATAAAATATTCAAACCCGCTGTGATTAACAATTCTGTAGCAGGTTTTCCTGAAGTTCCACCAAGTTCTGCCTGGAAACTTAGTGATATCCACTACACAACATGGGAAACATTTACCACAATCTGAAAAAAGAAAGAACAGCCTATTGGTTCCATGGAAAATGCTGAGACATGGAATCAAGAAAGTATAAGACATCTTAAAGAGAGCTTCTACAGACTAGAGAAAGAATGTGCTCTTTTACCTATGAGGTGATGCTATGGTTGAAATGATCTAAAGCTAAAGAAAAGAAAAATCTTGTGTGCCAAAATAATCTCTTTTAATAGAGCAATTCACACATGGAAAAAACAAATAAGCTTTTGTGCCCTTCTGCAGAAAGGCTTGTGGGCACCAAAAAAAAAGCATCTTTACTCCTATATATGTTTATTTCCTGCATTTCTTCTTTTTGTTTTGAAAAGAGATATTGCAGTAGTTAATTATGATTTTTACTGATAATTTAACTTTCTTGCACTGCAGAGACATTACAACTACACTCCCTGTTCACTGCTTTCCACCAGAAACACTCTTCATGAATCTGTAAAGGCAGCAGGATTGAACCATGAGAGTCAACGGAGTCTAAGGAGATGTTCAGGTAATCAAAGGTAAATGTCAACACTGGGATGAGCAGAAAAACAGATTCTGCTAATTTAGACATGTTCCAAGTGGATATTTTTCAACACTGGTTCATTTGGTGTTAGCAGAATACAGAAAAGATTCCTACTTTCTCCAAAACAGTCCTTAGGCAGGTGTGAGTTTTTAGTCTGGGAAGCCATCTCCAGACCAACAGCTGGATCCACAGTGCTGGCTTCAGAAAAGCTACAAGCAGCACCACATTTCTGTATGGGAGAAAAAGAAAGAGGAGAATTTATTTGCTTTTCATTAATAAGGTTAACAAACCAAAAATAAATGAAATTTATCATCCCCCCCGCTCCCCTCCCAAAAAAATTCTGCACTCTATAAATTACCTTATTTTTGCTGAACTACCAAAATGAAATTACCAATAATAGGACTGAAAAAGCCAAACCCTACTTTTGTCTCCACAGTTAATAAGTTCCTTGGCTTCTTCTAGTCATCTAAACAGGACAGGTAGGGAAAAAAAGACTTTCTTATGCTACAACTTTGGAGAAAAGTCTGACTTCTTCAGGCCAATCCAATTCTCTTTTCGTCTTCAGAGATACAAACCATGTCTCAGAAGGCTTGAATATGGGAAGGCCTGGTAGGATAGAATTGTATGTATGGTCTACACACCTAAAAGAATTGTAATTACTGGTAGGTAACCTATACACTTAGAAAACTAAAGACAATAAGGAAACCAAGCATAAGGGAAAAAGAATAAAGAAATCTATCAGCCATAATGTGTTAGTGCCCTGTACAGGCATGGAAAGGGAAGGCATGAGGACATATATAAGAATGGGAAGCCAGAAGAAGGGAGAATTTCCTCTTCCTCAACAGCCATGATGCTCTACACTAATCTAAGGTCATATGGAATCTTCACCATAAACAAAAATGCAATTATTTAAATCAATGGGCATTGTAATGTTTTCAATATTATTTATATATAAATATATTTCAATAATGTATAACAAACAAAAAGTCTAGCAACTGTGCCTAAAACCAGAAATGCTAATAGAGTTAGACTTTTGGGGGTAGTAATCCAGAAGGATGCTGAACTTCCATTGAATTTTCTGGGTCATCGGAGGCAAGTCATGATTCTCCACCTTTTTTTGATATGGAACTGTACTGTATTAGAATATTAGAATGAGCTGGGTTTCTATACTAGAAAAAGCATGGTTGTTTAGGGAACCATTTCGAGAGAGCACATTTTTGCATCCAAGAATGACAGCAAACAGGATTTTCTATAGAAACGAATAGCATCTCTCAGACATGCTTAAAGTAAGTGTGGTTCTTGGTTAATTTCTGCTTACTTATTTTGTACAAAATAATACATGAAGTTACACCATTAACCATGGTTACTGATGAGAGACAAACCTCCATGTTATTACTGCCTCTGGAAAGATGTGCCACCTCCACAGGGATTACACTTGCTACTCTTCAGAAAATCCCAACCTGTCCTGTCATTGCTGAATTGAGAGAACAGCTGTGACAGTCTGAATCTCTAGCATATTCCAAAAGATGATAAAGTTAGAATTACCTCTTTTTGCTCTTGCTTTTCATGTGTTACTGTGAAAACATGTACAGTTTCAGGAGTGCCAGAAATCTGACTGAAGCTGCCTGAACTCCGCCGCTGTTCTCGATGTCCCAACGTGTCTGCCTGCAGGAAATAATGGAAACGAGTGGATTTTCCGCATTTTTCCTTCCTGACAGTCTTTCTTAAAAGTCAAAATTCTCTAACAGAATCTAAAACATGCACAAAATTTAGAATAATGGAATCACAAAATCAATGGTTTGGGTTGGAAAGGACCTTAAAGATCAACTCGTTCCAACCGTCCTGTCACGGGCAGAGAACCTTACACAAGTACGTTTGTGTTTTTAAAGATAATTAAATGATATCCTTAAAATGCTTGTCATAGAATGGTTTCTTCCTCAATTTCAAATACTGTGCTCCTGAGGTTTTACTGGGGAAACGTATCATTCCTCAAGAAATACATTTAGCCCATGGATGGATTCCTGCATCCCATTAACCTTTGCAGCTGGACCCCAACAGCCTCATGCTTCCAGTTACAGGCAGAAGACCTAAGGGATCCCAATCAGTTCTCAATCCTTTGTCTCCACAAATTCCAAGAAACACCAGAGTCCACTGCAGCAGGGAACAAGGTTTTGTCATCAAATGCTTCTGGGTAACATATTGGAAATGGCCACAGATGATTCTAAGGTGATCAGCAATTTTTGCTTCTTTGAGAACTTGTCCAATGACAGTGCTTCCTAATATGACCAAAACCATAGAAAATGGCAGCTGAGAAGTGACATTTAAGCAGCAGCAGAGGCCTGCCTGCCAAAACGTGTAAGGCAAAGGAAACAAAAAGAAGGAATGTCTGTCTTGATCAAACTTCATTTATTTGTTGACAGCAAGCGATGGAAATGAAACTGACCAAAGCAGAATTATGGCTATCCTTGAAGAGAAGGGTGATAAAGTGGATATTCAAAATCCCTTTGGAAAATGAAGACTATTTGGTAGCCCTTACAATAGAAGAACAAAGAAAGTAAAATGGCAAAAATGACAGAAAGGATACCATTTACTGTTGAGCCTTTGAGATGGCAATTACAGATGTAAGTTACAGTATTTCTTTTAAATATGAATAGTTCTTACCTGCTTTCTGTGTTCTGTTTCTGGGAATACAATGTGCTCATCATCACTTAGGTCACTGTAACTCTCTGCTGCTGCAATGGGAACACAGGTACTGTGACTGCTGGAAAGGTCTTCATATTTCCATGATATTGAGGGATTCTCTTCATTATGGTAACACTCTGTGTCAAAGCCATTGTTGTCTATATATTTTCTGACATCTGTCATGGCATAATTATCATCCTCTAGGTTTTTGCCAGAAATTTCTACCGAAGCCTTCTTTTTGTCTGCTTTTTTGAGGTTTCCTTTCATTTTTTTGCCACAAGGATCCAGAATTCTGTCTTTCACAGACTTCAGGTCCTTGT